GGGGGGGCGGACCGGCCCGGGCCCCCCCGCCCGCCCGCCCGCCCCGGGGCTGCCCGCACCCTCACCCCGCCCGCTCACTTGGGGAACGCGTCGAAGCAGTAAGTCTTCTTGGTGTCGGGGAAGGCGACGCGCATGCCCGAGGTGAGCGGCGAGTGCAGCACCACGGCGGCGCACTCGTAGCGCGAGGCCAGGTCCACCGTGGGCACCGTGCCGATGCTCTGCCCGTACAGGATGACGCTGTCGGGGCTGATGCCGGACCTCGACGAGGGGTTAGCCGCGGCCCCACCCACCGCCTCGCCCAGGCAGCCGCAGCCCCGCCCCTCGCGCGCTCTGCTCGCTTTCCGCTTTCCTTGCCAGCACCTAGGGGGTCGCGGGAGCACCTGGTGAGGTGGTTCCCAGGACGCTCTGCTGCTGGCCGCCCCCTCCTACTCACACCTGGCAGGGGCTGCTCCTCCACACACCCACCTGCTTCAGGCCTGCTTCCCTCCCTGCCCGCCCGCCCAGAAGGCTGCAGGTGCTGCCTCCGGCCCACGCCCCTCCCAGGCCGCAATGGGCCCTGGGGAGCTCAGCAAGCCCTCTAGGCCCAGCGTGGGGCCTGAGTCCCTCGTGCCCAATTAGGTGCATGGTAGACACAGTTGGGCAGGGAGGTGGCTGCCACCTCTTCCCAGGGCCTTCCCCGCCATCTTCCTCATGGGATCCAGCACCACCCTCGAGTACATGACTGACCACACAGGGACCCTCTCCCACCCTGCCTCTGCTGTGGGCTGCCCAGGGGATCCTCAGGGCCATCTCTGTCCCTCCCCTGGCCTGGACCCTGGCAGCCCCCAGATCCCCAGCCTGCTCCCCTGCTCCAATCCACACAGGAGCCCCAGCTGCCACCTGGACGTCTCCCCGGGGAGGCCACACCAGCAAGGACTGCCCTGCAGACCTCTGGAACTCTGGTCGCCACCAGCCCATGCCACCACACCCCACTGGCTCTGATGGCCGCCAGGCCATGGGGTCGGGGTGGACCGATGGATGAAGAGACAAGGCTCTGAGCCTGCTCCAGCCTGCACTCCAGAGCAGGCAGACAGGAGGTAGCTCTAGGCACCAGGAAGGCCGGATCCGTCCCCAGCGCCAGGGTGGGGCCAGGGGACCCAGCTCCCAGGTACAGCAGGGACTGCCTGGCATGTCACCATGGCAGCCAGGGCTCCACCTTCCCGAGTGCTGCCTTCTGAAGGCCGCACTGGGCCCGTGCCCAGCAGAGCCCAGCCCAGTGGGCGGTGAGCAGGGCGCCACGCCTGGGAGGGCAGAGCCCTGTGCCTCGGGCACCCTGGCCGTCCTGCCCTGGAAGCCCTGCAGCCTCACCGGGTGCGCAGGGCCTGCCAGGCAGCATCGATGTCGGCGTACAGGTTCTTCTCAGAGGGCCTGCCCGAGCTGACGCCGTAGCCCGAGTAGTCGTAGGAGAAGATGTTGCAGTTGATGCGGGTGCCCAGGCCGATGTAGAAGCTGCTCATCTGGCCCAGGTCCACCGCGTTGCCGTGCGAGAACAGGACCGTGTACCTGGGAGCAGGCGCGGGTCAGGGCCGGGGCAGGCCTGGCACCGAGGAGGCCGCCAGCTCACCACACAGCGCCTCCCTGCCCCGTTTACTCCTCCCAAGGGGCCAGGAAGCCAGGGAGGGGGCCGCCGGGCCAGCCAAGCTCCACCTCTCAAGTCTCCCCAGGGTGATGAAGGTGACAGCCCTCCCAGCTGCGTATGGGACCACTGGGACCATAGGTCACATCTCAGCTCAGGGTGGACCTTGGGCGGGAGCTCAGCCAGCCAGTGGCCAGCAGCCAGCTCTGCTCTGGCATCCTACTTCTTAGGGCGGCCTTGACCACGATGGCATGGTGCCAGCACACGAGCCTGCCGCCTGGACCCTCCCTAGGACAGGGCCCTGCTCTGTGGGCAGGGCTACCTGTCCTCTTCAAGGGACAACCCCTTTACTACGGAGGCAGCTGGGCCCCGCCCATCCCCAACAAGAGAATAATCCGTGACCGCAACCAGCCACACAGCTTGCAGGGACCTCGCCCAGTGCCCACCTCGGCTGGCACGGGCCCGCCCTGAAATAGAGCTGCCCTTCGGACCTGGCCGCGAGGAACAGCAGCTGGCCTGTGGACCTGGCCACTCCCCAGGAATGGGGTCAGGCACACAGGGGCTGGCGCTGCTCTACAAGGGGAGGTGCCCTGGGGTGGGTGGAGGGCTGCACTGAGCAGGGCGCAGGGCAGCGGAGCGGCAGGGACAGACGAGGGAGGGACGAGGTCCCCGGCCCGCTGTAGAGGAAACCTGGGCTGCTCGCTACAGTGAGGCTCTGGGGCTGGGGGTGGGGGGAGCAGAGCGGCTGCGGGCGGGAGGGCGGGGGTGCGGCGGGACGCTCACCTGGCGCCGGGCACGCAGCGCACGTACATGCAGGAGATCCGGCTGCCGCGGGGGCTCCTGGGCA